AAAGTATTTGTAAATTTTAGATAGTTCATTTCCATACTTTGACCATTCCTGCAAATTTTTCGGTATACCGTCCGCGTATAAATCCAACTACTACATACCTACATACATACAATATCATCAACTCTCAAATCCCTTAGTCGCTTCTTACGAGAACCACGGGAAAGATATTATATGGGGTGATGATATTTTAAGACGGCACCTCACGGCGGCCCGCTACTAAAACCCCGTATAAATCGAACTACCTTTCTAATTATTAACTTTTAAAAACTCTCCTATAAACTATTACTAAACTATTAACCTACAATTAAGTATTTACGTAAGGGCCGACCGATTTCCGTGTCCCAGGCAATTGGGTCACGCCTCAAGGGCCGAATGTGGCCCTTACGACTCCCGAGAGGTAGAGGTAAGGAAGGATCTACTATGTTGACATAGACTGTCCCGATGGCGTAGTGGATAGTACCCCTGCCTTCTACGCCGAGGGTCATGGGTTCGATTACCACCAGACACAAATATTTGTAAGGTCAATTTTCAAATATTTGTGTTTAGTCTGGGTGTTTTCTATGTATAATACGTATTTATTAACAAAAAAAAGTATAAACAAGTAATCAGTTGTCTAGTTCCAATATTACAAGCTTTGCTTAGTTTGGGGCTAGATGGCGCTGTGTATCTCGTCCAGGGATATTTATTATTTAATTTATTTTATTTAGTGTAGATAGGTAAGACTTGTTTTGGCCTTTTCCGCCTAACGTTGTGATAAGTTGAAGACTTGTTTTGGCCTTTTCCGTCCGCCTCAATAGCAGCTCAGCGATTTTAATGTATTTCTTTTTAATAGATAGTGATTCAACAGGAACGTTGACTTATATTTACATGTATGTACCTATAATACATGCCGGTATAACGTCTTACCTTTTCCCACGGGAAAACGATAAGCAGTAATGAGTGAAATTGCTGGGCTGGCCGCTAGTTTTTTTAAAGCTTTTTTTAAGTTTAGCACAAATACGATTAGTCCCTAGCGCAGAGGTGGGAATTAAGCGTTTCCTGCGGTAATAAGTAAGTAAAGTAATGGAGCATTCAAAATAGTTTTTGAGATTTAAAACAATTTGTTACAAAAATTGCCACAAAGTTTGATATAAGAGGGTTTTATTTTTTCACATTTAGTAATTACTTCCTTATTTGCAATCACAATTACATTATAAAATAACCTTAAACGTACCCAAGCATTTCGTAATACCTAACTACTGCTTTCCTACCTAGGTAACACTAATAATAGGTTACTTTACATGTTGATGTTGATGTAAGTATGTACGATCAAATGGAAGATTACATTGTTTTAACCATCAAGGACTTGACCAATTACTAGTGTAGCAGAGTGCAAACTCTGCATTGACATCCTCCCTAAGCCACCCTCACATCTCCCTTTTCGAATCATTTTATAACTTAAATTTGGAACACGGCACCGAAACGTCACCGTGCTTGGACTTTTGACGCCTCTCTCTAACTGACGGTGAAGTCGTACCTATCCTTGTTAATTTTACTCTCGCATATTTTTGCAACTGTATTTAACCAAGTGATTCCCGGAACAGTTCAAAAAGCTTTATTATCTATCACAGTGAAAGTGAACATTTTGCCTATCTTGTATATTTTTGTGATACACTAACGGACCCACCCAAGGTAAGCCTCAAATCATTCCCGACAACCATCTGCTCACCTCCATACTCAACACAGTGGCGGATCCAGGGGGGGGGTCATGGGGGTCATGACCCCCCCCCCCTGAGCCGGGCCCAGGACCTTGACTAAGTGGTTATATTATGGTTTACATATTGATTCCATTCAATTACATTAGTCAAACACAAGATTCCATTCAATTATATTATATAAGCAAAATCCGGCATATGGCAAAATCGTCGACTTCATTCGGCCATTCCTAAGCTGATCCAGGTTTTTGGCCAAAAACCTAGGATTTTGGCCGAAATCCTAATGGGAACGAGGTGGAGAGTGCGTTATGCACCTCCCCCTGATCTGTTAAGGGTAGAGTTGGACACCCTGAGGCATCGGACGCCCTGAATGAGGGATGGGGTAGCGTCAGACAGCCTGAACAGCAGAATTGCGTCGGTTGACCTGGAGGCAGACACCATAAGAACAGGAAGTACCACTGGACGCTGGGGAGAACGGGAGGTAGCGTCAGACGCCCTGGACGGCAGGGGGTATCGTTGGACGCCCAGGAAATCAACGCCCGTCATCTTTTATCATTCAGAGTGTCCGACGCTACCCACGCCCGCCAAGGCGTCCGACGCTACCTCCCACTCTCCAGAACGTCCAAAGCTACCTCCTGCCTCTCAGGGTGTATGCCGCTACCTCCAACCCTCCAGGGATGCCCTTCACGGCAAGGGGTAGCGTCAGAAGCCCAGAAAAACCAACGCCTGCCACTTTTTATCCACCAAAGTGTCCGACGTCACCTACGTCCTCCAGGGCGTCTGACGCTACTTTGTAACACAATAGTAGGCCCGACGCTACCCATTTCCGACTACGGCGTCCCTGGAGGGTGGGAGGCAGCGTAAGTCACCCTGAAAAGCAGGAGGTAGCGTTGCACGTGCTGTAGGGTGGGAGGTAACGTCGGTCGCCCTGGAGTGCGTGGCTAGCGTCGGACACTCTGGAGGATGAAAGATAACGGTGGTTGGATTTTCTGGGACGCTACCCCCTGACCTCCAGGGCGTCCGAGGCAATCCTGCTGTTCAGGCTGTCTGATGTTACCCCCGCCCTTCAGGGTGTCCAATGCATGCATGTATATTATGCACATCTTTTAAGGGTAGAGCCCTTAAAAGATGTGCATAATATAACTCGCTCGGACGATGATCGAAGGAAGTCGACGACTTTGCCATATGCCGGCCTTTGGCCAAAAACCTAAATCTGCCTCTCGAAAAACATAACCCTTCTTCTGAGGCAGTCGGGTCAAACATTACCTATAGAACCTATAAAATTGTCTATGTGACCCCCCCCCTGAGCCAAGGCTGGATCCGCCGGTGACTCAACATCACAGTGTGTTAATGTTTGTTACGTCTGCAGGGTCCGTATCTTTGAATAAAGATCATCCAAGTAATATCTATCATCTATTATTTGTGGCCATCACGGCTATACTAGCTAATGTATAATGCTAGTCAGGAATAGCAATTTATTTATTAACTTCTTAATTATGGTCATCGTGCGCTTTGGGTAAGAAATTCACGGTAGTAGGAAATTACACGTAATGAGTAAGGATTAAAGTAGACAAAAAAATAGATGGCTCATATAAATATGTCCAGACCCACAGCCAGATGGAAGAGAGCAGCTGGTAGCGATAGCAACCGAATGGCGAAAACGTGAAATCGTGACTACCTATTCCTAGTCCAGAAATGGACTGCTGCCTGCTATTCGGCTATCGTGATGAAACACAATAACGAGCCTAGCCAACTGATCCAAATATTCTGTGTCACTGTTTGATTGAAATATTTTAAGCTTACGAATAATATTTCACAGTCTCTTTATCTTCATAGAAAATTCAATAAAAACATGAAAAGACACAGGGCAGGAAGTCGGTACAAATATAAATAGGAAGAAGAATTTTACAAAACGTTGTGAAACGAGTGTTTTTCGAGGAACAAAAATAAATTCAAGGAAAATATCTTAGTAAGAATTTCTATTATGGTAAATTAAAATTTTCTCAAAGGGAATACCGTTTTTTTCTTCCATTTCCTCTTGTGTTCGCGGAAAAGATGAAAAGAAATTGTAACGAGCTTTATTTATCAGTAATTGTCGCGAATGGTTTGTTCAAGCATTATTTTTTGGCGATTGGAATAATAAGTGATCTCTCCTTATAGATTCTTTCTTTTTTGTCTTTAACTAGGGTGAACACACCCGGTCATCCTGTGTATAAACTGACTCTTTTTCTTCATGTGGGACACCGAGTCGTTCAGTGACCAGTTTGAACTACTAGCACATCGAAACTATAGTGAGCTGGTCATCCGTCGTAGAATCGATGGATTAAGCGGATTCTGGAGAGTGAAGGAAGGCCACGGCTCGGCAAGTGTAGCGTTGGGCGCCCTGCGGCCAGATGGACCTATGACCTAAGAAGGCTGTTGGTATTCAGCTGAAGTTAAAAAAAATACAAAAATATTTTCCAAAAAATATATTTTTATTTTCAAAATCTTATGAGTAACCTACATACATTTTGGCATATACTAATAAGAAAACCAGGTGAGACTACGTCGCATTTTACGAAACACCCTGAGTAGACTAGGGGTGGAGTCACCTTAAACGAAAGGTGTTTTAGTGAAATACGAAAGACCCTTTTGGCCCTTAAGGAATATTTAAGGCGTTTAATTCTTATAACGAGGTTACTCTAAATAAGGGGACGGTTGGCAAAGGCAGGTAAATGAAACCAGAATATAAATTAGATTTTGTCGAGGAAGGTGGTACTGATTTAGTTGAGATATTTACCTACGTAACTGTAGTGTCTTGTAATTTATTATTTAGATAATTTATATATACTTATTTGTAATTTATATTTACTATTTAGATTACTTATAATAGTCATGAATACGGACGATGGTCATGAGTACGGGTATTCTGTTAGTGGCGCCGCTTGGTGGCTTGACGTCAACTCACTCCTACCCCCAAGTTAATATATACTGTCGGAAGGCTGGTGGAGGGGCTAGTTGAAGGTTGACCACGGACTGTGGTGTTGGTATCGAATTGTTTACAGTGTAAAGTTATAGTATAACCAATAGTGTATGAAGTGCTGGATGTGTGAAGTTTAATAAAACTACGAATACGGATTTTGTGAGTTTCCATTACTACATTTTGGCAACGAGGAAAAACTGTAAGTAAATCTATTTTATTTTAAACAAAAGGAAGAGAGAAAGTAGTGAAATAGTCCAAAAATAAGTGCTAAATTGAATATAAAACTGAAAAAAAAGGATCCACTATACGTGTGCCGTTTTTCTGCCATACCAATTATTAGTTTAGATGCAATAGCACAGTGGTCAGTGCACTGGGATTGTCTCAGAGGTGTGGGTTCGATTCCCGCTTGTATCATATTGAGCCATTAGTTCGTTTGGTGAAAATTGGTACGTGTGTGGAGGCGAGTAGTATCTAGGCGTTGTCCTGTTTTAGTACAGTCTGGGCTCGCACTGCGTTGTCCAGTAAAAGTTCACATTGGTGCACACAATGATGAACAGTCCACACGATGGACGGTGCTGTACTAAAGGTCTAAATCACTGATTTAGATCAATAATTGAGAATTCTACTCGTTTTTATCTCGGATACAGTGTGTTGGTTTATTTTTGGATATTTCATGACTGACACTCGGCTATTCAATTTATGAAAAGTTTTTAGATTTTTACTTTTGAAATGTTTTAGTAAGGAAGAATGTACATTCAAGTGCATGTAAGAACTCGTATCTCTTACGGGTGAGGCAAATCGTAAACAGGCTTACACAGAGCTTGCATATTTCATGCAAAATATGTAAACTTGAACTTTTACAAAGTTAAGAATGCCTTCACAATGTACCTGTATCTATATAAATATGCACCTATTTATATTACAACAAATAAATTCAACAATTTGTCAAAAATGAGTACAAATTCATATAAATTTGTTTTGTTCGTGCAATGGTTAAAGTAAATGAATAAAAGTGATGGTATTTAAAATAGTTTTTAAAATGGAACACTTTTCAATCTCATTCCAGGAACAATGACAGATATAAGAAATATTCCCCCGTTGGGGAATTTTGATTGTGAAGGAAGTGACGTTGGACTCCGATGGACAAAATGAAAGCGTGGCTTGGATATTTATTTGGACGCAGCAGAGATTGAGGAGCCAACAAAGAAGCGGTCAACACTGTTACACCTGGGAGGTTACAGGAAATTTATTATAGCATTCCAGGTGCCCACGTAGAGGAAGATGACTTTGAGGAAGACGTCGACGTATATCAGATAGCTGTGCAGAAACTGGATGGATATTTCGCACCGAAACAGAGCTGTGTGTATGAGAGACATGTGTTTCATACGATGAAACAGGAATCAGGTGAGAAATTTGGATCATTTTTACTAAGGCTGAGGAAACAATCAGAAAAGTGTAACTTCGCTAAAACTGAGGAGAGTATAATTGATCAAATAGTTGAAAAAGGTTCATCAGTCGAATTAAGAAAGAAGATTTTGAAAAGCGGTGACAAATTTACTTTGGATGACATCATTCAGGAAGCGAATTCTTTAGAGAGCGTTGCTAAGCAGCTAGAAGACTTTGCCGAAAAAAGTACGCCATCCTCTAACAATACCGTCAATAAAATTGAGGTAAGAAAATATAATCGGTCATTTAAAGAGCAGTGTGGCCGGTGTGGGAGGCAGAGTCACCGCGCTACGTTAGATTGTCCTGCAATAAAATGCATTTGTCACAAATGTGGTAAGATTGGTCATTTTCAAAAATTCTGCAGATCAGCACCGCAGAAGCGGAAAGCTTTCAGGCAAGGCGATAATGTCTCTGCAAAGAAGTTTAAAGAAGATGCCCCAAGATCGTATTTGCAAAGCAAACGTAAGTCTGGAAATGACACTTCAAAAAAGGGTGAGCATGTTTCTAATATTGATGAGGATACCGAATATATTTTCCATATTGACGACGATACCTCAATTGAATGCAATATTGGTGGAGTGAAAACGGAAGTACTGATTGATTCTGGAAGTAAATCCAATCTTCTTACTGAAAGCACCTGGAAATTATTGAAGCAGTCCAAGGTTAAAATTTTTGATCAAGATAAATGTCCTAATAAAAAGTTTTTTGCATATGGAAGTGAGCAACCTTTAATAGTATTAGGATCATTTAAGGCTTCAGTCCAAATTCAGGACAAACAAACTGATGCAGTTTTTTATGTGATCAAGAATGGTACTAGAGACCTTCTTGGAAAAGAGACAGCTTTTGAGCTAGGCGTGTTGCGGGTTGGATTAGTTGCTGAGGTAAGAACTGAACAAACTTTTTCCAAATTTCGAGATGTCTTAATAGAAATACCTATTGATGACACTGTTAAACCAGTATGTCAACCCTACCGGAGAGTACCAATACCATTAGAAGGAAAAGTTAATGAGAAAATTGATGAATTACTTAAAGCTGATATCATTGAAGAAGTCAAGGATCGTCCAGGTGGGTATCTCAACTGTCCCGCTATTAAAAGAAAACAGAGGTACGTTTATGTATAGATATGAGAAGGGCTAATGCTGCTATAATCCGGAGAATCACCACTTCCTACAATGGATCAACTACTACCTAAGTTTAAAAAGCCAAGTACTTCTCACGTCTAGATATAAAAGATGCCTTTCATCAGTTGGAGATTCATCCAGATTCCAGACACATAACAACATTCATCACCAGCAAGGGTATGTACCGTTATAAGAGGTTGATGTTTGGGATCTCCTGTGCTCCTGAAATTTTCCAGAAAACTCTAGAAAGAATCCTGCTACAGTGTGAAGGTACAGTGAACTTTATTGATGATATTGTTATTTATGGTTCCACGGAGGAGGAGCATGATCGACGATTGGAGCATGCACTGAATGTGCTAAAAGAAAACAATGTTCTTCTTAATACTGATAAGTGCGTCTATAAAATTCAAAAGATACAGTTTCTTGGTCATGAACTATCTCCGGACGGAATTAAGCCATTAGACAAATATCTGGACACTATTGAAAGCTTCCGAGCCCCTACAACAAAAGAAGAGCTTCAGAGTTTTTTGGGTCTGGTCAATTTTGTGGGAAAATGGATTCCTGATCTTGCTACGCTTACTGATCCATTGCGAAAGCTACTACGAACAGAAAAAGGTAAGAAAAGTCAATTTGGAGACTCCTGGACTATTGAACAAGAAGAGGCGTTTCAAAAACTGAAAGAATCTCTGGCAAAGATTGAAACCTTGGGATATTATGATCCAGCTGATAAAACACAAGTTCTGGCTGATGCAAGCCCAGTAGGTCTCGGTGCAGTTCTTATCCAAATTGATTCCAGTGGACCTCGAGTTATAGCTTACGGCAGTAAAAGTTTAACGGACTGCGAAAAAAGGTACTGTCAGACTGAAAAAGAAGCGCTTGCTTTGGTGTGGGCAGTTGAACATTTTAGAATGTTTCTGTACGGTAAGGAATTTGAGCTCATAAGTGATCACAAACCTTTGGAAATGATCTTCGGACGGAAATCAAAACCATGTGCTCGCAATTTAAAAATAAACATGACATTATATTTTAGTGGTTAAACTTTTATGATATGTAAATTGACATGTATAGTGGTTAAATTTGACATTTCATACTTATTATTCTTAAATTTTTGACATGTATTTTTACATTTACTGTAAATTTACTTTTTGTTATGTTATTTTATTGCTCGTATATTTAAAGTACCTTTATTTTAAAGACAGAAACAGTTAGAATAATCTACTGTAATATTATTTTTATTTTGTTGAGCCGTTTTTGGCTATTACTATTATACTATTAATTTATTTTCTAGCTTAGATAGGGTAGCATAGGGCCTAAAATATTGTCAACTTTAGAATAGGTGCACTTCTGGGCAGGTTTTGGGGTTTTCCTGTCCAGGGGGTCCGGCTAACTATACGTATGGAACACCTTTTTAAAATATTGACAGAATGTAATTCCATTTACTTGTCAATCACTGAGGCATAAAGTTACATGCTGTGTGGTTAGCCTGGCCAGCCCCGAGGCAGTGCCTTTATTTTTATTTTTTTATCCTGCCCGTGCCATGTTTGGTAGGAACACAAATTGTTATAAAAAATAGAAAATTTTGCATTAGAAATTTTCTCTTTTTTAAGTTTGAATTAGAATGTGACTTTCTTAAAGAGAATCTTGTAAATTCCTACTAAGAAATAAATTATTGAATTTGAATTTTGAATTTGAATTTGAGAGATGGGTACTTCGCCTTCAGTCTTTTGATTACAAAGTTGTTTATAGACCAGGTAAGACAAATATTGCTGATCCTCTTTCGCGATTGTGTACAATCTCACCAAGCACCAATAAAGTAAGCAGTTATATAAATCAAATTGTGGACTTTGCAAGACCTGCTGCGGTTCCCCTCAGAGAAATTGATGAACACTCGGCACAGGATGAGGAAATATCAAGAGTTCGGAAAGGTCTTTATGACAATGAGTGGGATTCTGCTGTCAACAATTATAAGGTATTTGCGTCAGAACTATGTTTTTTCGAAAACATTTTGCTCAGAGGAAACCGGATAGTGATTCCTAGAAATCTACGGCAGAAGATTTTAGATGCTGCACATGAGGGGCACCCAGGAATTGTCTGCATGAAATCAAGACTTCGAACAAAGGTATGGTGGCCAAAGATAGATCAAGATGCAGAGAAAATAGTCAAAACTTGCAAAGGTTGCACCTTAGTGTCTGCGCCAAACCCACCAAACCCAATGAAGCGAAGGGAACTTCCGACTGAGCCATGGACAGATGTTGCAATGGATCTCCTTGGACCGCTACCGTCTGGAGAATATATATTTGTCTTGATTGATTACTTCAGTCGCTATAAAGAGCTAAAGATAACAAAAAATATTTCAGCATCTGAAATTATAAAATTACTAAAAGAAATTTTTTCTCGCCTAGGTTTTCCAGACTCAGTGACAGCCGATAATGGTAAACAATTCACGAGCGATGAGCTAAAGAGATATTTTGACGAATGTGGAATAAAAATGTTTCACAGTATACCATATTGGCCACAGCGAAATGGTGAAGTAGAGCGCCAGAACAGAAGCATTTTAAAACGATTACGCATAAGTCAGATTGAGAAGCGTGATTGGAAAGACGACCTTTACAGTTATTTAATGATGTACAATAGTACACCTCATTCGACTACAGGCAAAAGTCCTTCGGAATTATTTTACAGGCGCCAGTTTAGGGACAAATTACCTTATTTTAAGGATATGGAGAATATAGATGTAGATATGGAGACCAAAGATAAGGATAAAATTCAAAAAGAAAAGGGTAAAGAGTATGCAGATCGTAAAAGGAAGGCAACTGAACATGACATACAAGAAGGAGATCAGGTATT